GTTACTGGCGTATATTCATACGGGGGTATGCGGAGAAGGCTGAGCCATTGAGGTTACTCCTTCGAAAAACTGAAAAATTCTACTGGGATTCTTCGCAGGAACTCGCTATGCAAGAACTTAAAGACGAATTTAAGGAGGGAGGGCGCGTGTTGGGCGTGCCATTCTTCGACGATGAGACTGAGAGACCCTTCATAGTATCCACGGATGCTGGACCATGTTCAGTAGGTGGTTTGATGTCTCAGAAGGACACAGGAGGGAAGGAAAAACCGTTAAGATTTGAGAGTAGGACACTTAATACGACTGAGCGTAACTACAGTCAATTCAAGAAGGAAGTGTTAGCTGTTTTCCAGTGTCTAGACACGTTCAAACACTATATCTATGGGCGACAGTTCATCTTGAGAGTAGACCCCACCGCGGTTGCCTCTGTCTTCCAGAAGGACTTTAGTCTGACGGACCCAACCATCGCCCGATGGTTAATACGGATTCGACTATACGATTACACGGTTGAGAGGATATCTGGCACTAAAAATGCCGTGGCAGATGGACTTTCGCGCATCCCTCTTGAGGTCGAGCGCCCGATAGTAGTTGGGGCCCTGACTATGGCGGAGCCAGGACCCACGGAGCATTTTCTGGTTAACCTTTACGATGGCAAATACCGAATGGTCGGGCTACATTTATCAGGAAAGGAGAGTCAAGAATCATATATCCGGAGACAAGCGGCCCAGTACTGCCTTAGAGCTGGTCATCTGTTTCAAAGGCCGAGCGGCTCGGGGATGCCCTTACGAGTAGTCTGTGACCCTGAGGAGAGACAAACAATAGTTGCGGAGCTTCACGACGGGGTAGTCGGAGGACACAGGGGAGTCAAAGGAACCTACGAAAAGGTACGCAGGTTGTACTGGTGGGAAGGACAGTATAAGGACGTCGAGAGGCATTGTAGGACCTGCGAAGAGTGYCAGAAGAGAGCTCTTGTGAAATACAAAGAGCCACTTCATCCATCCTATCCGACCAGACCAGGAGAGAAGGTACACATCGATCTAGTGAAAATGCCRAAAGGGGTAGGCAATATGAACTACGTCGTGAACATACGAGACGATTTCACTGGGTTCGTGGACGGTAGACCTATCAGGAGTAAGGCGGCAAAGGAAGTAAAGAACTTTGTCCTAAAGTACTTATCTAGGTATGATTGTGTCAGCAAGATAGTAATGGACAGAGGGGCAGAATTCCTAGCCGACGAGGTTCAGAGCGTGTTCAGGAGAGCGGGGGCGAGAGTTTCGATAGCCACCGCCTATCACCCACAGTCGAACTCCCCAGTAGAGAGGGGACACCAGACTCTGATAGCGTCACTGTCCAAGTGGTGCAAGGGTAAGGACAGTGATTGGCCRCGATATTTTCGATACGCAATATGGRCGGACAACGTCACGGTCCGGGCTAGTACTGGATACCCACCGTACACCTTGTGGTTTGGGCGACATTGTCCGCTTCCCATAAAGTTTCACGTCGACAGCTAGACAACCATCGACTGGGCGGAGAAGATGTCCAAAAAGGAACTCATAGCTGCCCGAACAAGACAGATAGCCTACGGTTTGGAAGATAACCTTATGACAGCGGCAGATCGTCTGGCAGTGGAAAAAGACAAAGGTAAAGAGAGATGGGATAAGAACGTGAGAATCCGGAAGGAGAGGGTGAGTGTAGGAGATATGGTCCTTCTCTACGATGCAACGCCGGAAAGAACCTGGACCGGAAAACTCGCCAACAGATGGATGGGACCTTACAGAGTGGTTGAGGCACTCGACTGGGGTACATATATGATAGCAGAATTAGACGACTCCAAGTGGAAGGACCCAGTGGCGGGTGCTAGGTTAAGCTGTTTAGGCCCAGGCCTTATCGCTGACCAGTCCGAAAGGGAAAGGAAAAGCCATAATGGAGGATGGAGCCCCCTTGAGGCAATTCGAGGTAGGGGAGAGTTCCAAGAAAAGAAAAAGAATAGAGAAGAGAAAAGTCAAAGGGTTAGCTTTAGGAAGAGAGAAGAGATGATTATTCGTGCTCAAGCGAGCTAGACGGAGAGTTCGCGTTAGACGTACTGGCGGGTCGGCACCCTTCTCGGGGCAAAGACAGAAGAAAAAGAGGATCGTGCCGGGGCCAAAAACCAGAAGAAACAGGAGAATCAAGAAGCATCTTCTTAGCCCCAGGACTCATAACAAACTGAAACATAAGACAATCGAACGCCGACGTGGGCGTCCTTTACGGGTCATCACCCCGAAGCTCGTCCGCTTCGTCTGACGTAAGTTGCTAGGGCTCGACGGGGGCGTCGAGAAGTGGTCCGGGCTAACTGTCAGGCGGCCACAAGCAGTGCGCCGCCTGAAATCTACGGTTTTGGGACTTAGGCGCAAAGACGAGTCTGAGTTTTGACAGTACTCTGGTTAGACCAGGCAGCGGAAATTAGGGGAGCTCATGGCGCCCTTGATTTTGGGCGCGCTGAACCTTACGGGTAACCCTCAAAGATGGCGAGATGGGTGGTCGCACTCGGCACATCAACGGACCGTCATTTCCGACCGTTTAGAGGGTTGAACCCGGATTGGCTTACCGCGATGAGGCATCGCGGGAACTGACCTTGCAGCCACATTTTTTGCGGCATACGACCGGGGCCGAAATGAGGCCTCAAATTTTTATCTATTTTAGTACCATAATTAAAGATGGGGAAAAGGGATTACGACCAGTAGGGAAGAAGGGAAAAACATAATATCCCTTAATTTTTTTATTTTTTACGATATTTAATTCAAGGGGGAATACCCTTGTTATTTGATGTTCCCGCCATGAAATTAAAGACATAGGAAAAGATTAAAAAATGGTAAAAGAGAAAAGAAACAAAAGGAATTCGGCCATTTATTTAAATTTTTTCGGAAT